TATATATATATATATATATATATATGTGCGTGTGTATATATATATATATATACATATATACATAACTATACAAGTTACCTTTCAAAGCTTTCCGTCATCAAACCCGATATATATGCATATACACAAATACATATATGTGCGTGTAAATTCTGACATACATATACGCATATTATAGTACATTTATATCGGCCGGTGACGTCGTTCACAAAGCAGGTGCACGTTATATTTATATATACATTCACATATGTGTATAATGTCGAGATTGCTTAATCTGAAGAGTCGCCTGCTTTAACGCATACTTTACTTACGTGTAGATTGTTCGTGGTCAGAAGGATTATTATAGTCGGTCTCGCTTCTTCTGCAAGAAGTGTTCATCAGGACCTGACATATGGATTCTCTATTTGCCACAGGAGAATACACTTTTTCGTAAGAGCAAATCCTTGTGGAACTGTCTACAGTCCAACGGAATAGCAAAAGTCTTATAACACTACATGTGCGTTAAAGGCATGCTTCCTGGCCCTACATTGTCACTATGATGATGTGGATAATGACTTTGCATTTGAAGTCTCTGGACATTGGGGTCATTGGCATCGCCAGGTAGATACATGCTGATCATGTCACGGAGATCAGGGCCACACCCGGGTCTTCTTCCGGTCGCAGCTGCTACGGCGGCCGCAGTCATGGCTGAAGGTGGGGTTTGGGGTCCGGGCCCTGGACTTGGACTATGTTCCGTCTTGATGGTGCCTGGAACTGACATGGGACTAGCGCCCTGCATGGGTGAATAGGATGACATGGGCAAGGAGTAACTAGAGCTACCGTTCATGTACGACATGGGCATGTTAGCCCCTGTTGTCATAGAGGTGGGCACCTGGGTCATGTCGTACCGAGGGTAAAGTCCACTACTAGCCGTCATCTGGGTCCCGTAGCCGGCTGCTGCCGCATGGTGTTGGTATGCTTCGTGCATCATGCTAGGATAACCGTTGGGCATGTAGCCGTTCATTTGGTACATTTCACGGTTTACCTGTTGCACAGCTGCTGCTTGGTTCCGTGCATCTGAATGCAGAAGGCCACTGGCCAAGGGATATTTGTCCTTCTTCATCATGGATTTGGTCTTCCTTCGGGGCCGGTACTTGTAGTCAGGGTGATCTTTCATATGCAGCGCCCGCAAGCGCTTAGCTTCGTCGATAAAAGGCCGTTTCTCTGCTTCCGATAACAGCTTCCATTCAGCACCCAGTCGCTTGCTAATTTCCGAGTTGTGCATCTTGGGGTGTTCCTGGGCCATCTTACGACGTTGGCCTCGAGACCAAACCATGAAGGCATTCATCGGCCGTTTAACCCGATCAAGATCTTTCTTGTTGTTGCTGCCAGAAGATGAGTTATTACCCATTTCATTACCGTCCGATCCACCGGATGCTTGGACATGGTGACCGTGATGAGAGGTCGCGGTTGTACAGTTTACCATGGACAGTGTGGTGTGACCAGGTGAGTGGTGTGACAGTCCTCCAGTCATTTTCATTTCGGAAGCTTCAAGTCCATGACCCATTGTAACACCGGAGGTCGGTGCCCCAAACGGGTGGTAGACAGCATACTCTCTCTCTAGCGTGGCCAGGGTGGCAGCGTTGGCAGGGCTGGCGAGGGACTGGGACTGGCCGCTGCTGCTGCACAGCTGGCACGGACAGGCGCTGCTGGGACGAATGGTGGAGGCCTCCGTGGTTACGGGTCCACAGGTAGGATTGGGTCAGGCAGGCTGCGACAGGCTTCCCTCCCTCAGACACAAATGGGCATGACAGCAATCTGTTGATCAGCGTGTGTTCCTGCCAGAATGACTGTATGTAGAAAGGTTCACTTTCACACAGCCTGAAACCGAGCTCTTTCAAGTGCCACCACACGGCTGTATTGGTCGAATACAGGGCTTTATTTGGCCTCTTTCAATACAAAGTTCTGTCAACAAGAGGAGCACCTCAATTCTGGCCGTCTAACGTGTTCAAGCACTTCTCTGTCTATGACTAGAGCTTTACCCCGAGTCCATGCGTTATTGATTGACAATGGCCCTGGCGCACATGGCTAGTAGCCAATCAGCACGCTATCACCAAACTTGGCTTCATATCTACCCATTTGTCGAGATACTGAAGTGACGTAGCCCTAAAGTGTAGTGACTTATACAAGGAGGCGGGGTCTTCCGCAGCAACACGGGAGAGGAACGGGGGAGCTTACCCGTTCTCACCTGGTAAAGCACGAGCTCAGCGTGTTGAAAAAGATTTGGTGAAAACTTGAAATTCACTATATATGTACATAGACATAAGGAAGTTCAGTTTGTTTATAGAAACACGCCGAACAATTCTAATAACTCGTGATAATAAATCTTGCAAACTAGTTAAAACAATTCTTATAAATTAAACAAAACCTCTCTTCGAACGAACGACAGCTTAGTCAGGATCGTTTTCGGTAAAACATTTTTATTTTTACTTATCATAATGAATCTTTAATTACCAGTTTCAGACACTAAGCTGTATCTAATGTAGCCCTCCTTCTGTTTTAGTAAGTAAGCGCCCTTGTTCTAACAAAGCACGGGAAATGTCATTCATAAAATCTGTTATGTAAAATGACAAAATTTGGCTTTCTTTTGTTTTTAATCTAATATGATTTACCAAAAAGGACAATAATGTAAAAATGTTTGTCTTTCACTTGATCCACGACAAACAAACTTGACTATTAATCTATTTACAAAATACACATACACGTATATATATACATATATTGTTAAAAACACATACACACACAGTATATCAAGTCTAGCAGCAATATTCAAAAATTACCTGATTGATGATTAACAATGCATGTTTCTTAAAGTTTGGTTAACATTACAACTTACTCAGCTGGTAAGTTGTTTGACAAGTCCTATAATCTACAGAATGTCAATTCAATTATTGTTAGTAGTGGACTAGAAAAGTAAGTATATCGATAAGATTTTCAGTAACTTTAACCTTCAGAATCCGGAAGCGTGAATGCTTTTCGTTTGTACGTCTTTATATGTTTTGTTTGTCCACAAGTTTTCTAAATGTGCTTACTCTAGCAGTGTACTTCAGCCATTCTTTACACTTCCTATTCAATTCTTCTGCTTTTAATACTAGGTATAAAGAAAAGCTGTCGCTACGAAGCAACGGTCAAACAAACAGTTCTTTCAAATCTTCTCAAAGCAAAACGGTTGCGCAAGCGTCAGTGCTGACATCTAGTGGAGTTACTAAGCAACAGAGTCTAGGCGAACGGCCACGCCTCAGTAAATATTAACATGCGGGTCAGTCTCGAACAAATTACATAACCAGGAAAGGTGCTGTCGAGCGTTAAGTAAAAAACAAATTATATATATATATGTTTTTAGGTTAAGTCTTACAAATTATTAATTAAGACTATTTAATTTAGCACAGAATAATCAACGGTAGAAAATTCGGTGTTATTTCTTCTATCGCGTGTTTAGAAAACCTACGGTTCTTAAAAGCTGTTGCTTTAGTGAGACTCAGCTATAGAAGAACTATTTTAATGTTTCCTGACGAAACACAGAAAAAACAAATCCACATGGTAAGTGAAACTGATTAGAGTTCGATAAAAAACTTAGTTTTCATAATATACATCATAATACTGAAAAATGGAGAAAACAACGCCGTTGTCATAATTATTCACTCGATAAACTGCGAATGTTTTTATTTACATAATAAATTCATCGTAAAATAAGTTTTATGATTTTACATTTCAAACAGAAATACCATAAACTTTAGTATCACTTAAGTCTATTGTTTGTAAATTAAAACCTTATTTTTTGGAACAGAAATTATATTAAACCTATTTGAATAAATATAAAAGTAGCTTTCTCTCCCAAAGAATGAATGTGTTAAATTAAACAAATCTTAGTATGCAACTAAATAAGTCTTTATAACTCTTTCTCAGCATTTCCTGATCTGAATCTGACAGTATCCAACTAAACAAATCTTTATAACACTTTCTCAAAGTTTAAACTTTCTGACCTGAAGCTGACAGTATGCAACTAAACAACTCTTTATAACACTTCCTCAAAGCTCACACCTTCTGATCTGATGCTGACAGTATGCAACTAAACAAGTTTTATAACACTTCCTCAAAGTTTACGCCTTCTGATCTGAAGCTGACGGTATGCAACTAAACAACTCTTTATAACACTTCCTCAAAGCTCACACCTTCTGACCTGAAGCTGATAGTATGCAACTAAACAACTCTTTATAACACTTACTCAGAGTTTACACTTTCTGACCTGAAGCTGACAGTATGCAACTAAACAACTCTTTATAACACTTCCTCAAAGTTTACACTTTCTGACCTGAAGGTGACGGTATGCAACTAAACAACTCTTTATAACACTTCCTCAAAGTTTACACTTTCTGACCTGAAGCTGACAGTATGCAACAAATGAAACTTGTAGCACTTTTTTGTGTGAATAGTCATTGTCCACAATCTAGAGATAATGATATACATTCAACTAGAGACATTATAATGTGACACATACTAGATGTGTGTTTAACCTTGGGCTGTTGATGACTATTTATCCATAGATATTATATATAATGTGAAACATACCAGATGTGTGTTTAACCTTGGGCTGATGATGACTATTTCTTTATAGATACTATAATGTGAAACATACCAGATGTGTGTTTAACCTTGGGCTGATGATGACTATTTATTTATAGATATTATAATGTGAAACATACCAGATGTGTGTTTAACCTAGGGCTGATGATGACTATTTATCCATAGATATTATATATATAATGTGAAATATATTAGATGTATGTTTAACCTAGGGTTGATGATGACTATTTATCCATAGATATTATATATATAATGTGAAATATATTAGATGTATGTTTAACCTAGGGTTGATGATGACTATTTATCCATAGATATTATATATAATGTGAAACATACCAGATGTGTGTTTAACCTTGGGCTGATGATGACTATTTATTTATAGATACTATAATGTGAAACATACCAGATGTGTGTTTAACCTTGGGCTGATGATGACTATTTATTTATAGATATTATAATGTGAAACATACTAGATGTGGGTTTAACCCAGGGCTGATGATGACTATTAAACCATAGACATCATATTGTGAAATACTTCAGGTCTGCGTTTAACCTAGAACTAAAGCCAACATTTATTAAACGGTAGTCTGGAGAAATTATAATATGTGCCCTAACAATTCATTGTTTCTATCATAGAAGAATATGTTCCAAATTATAGATATTACTGAGGATTAATCCTGGTTATTGTGTTAAAGTTAGAACTGATTACTTGCATTAAAATAGAAATAATAATGGTGTTTAATCTCCGGGTCAGTGTATTCAATATACTACTGATCTAATTTATTAATATATATTGATTTGTTCGATAATAGGGATACCTTTTGTGTTACATAGTACAATAATTGGATGAAGATTACACAAGGTCCATTACGGATCTAGCCGATTGGGAAGATTTATTTCAGCAGTTAGTTGAGAATGAAATAAGAAACAGATACGATTCCCGAAACCATATTATTAAATCCTACACTGCTTAAAAGATTACATTAATGCTGGTACAATATTGAAACAATGCGTGTTTGCTACAATATATCATAATCGGATATGCAATAATAAGAAATCATTGCATTTAGTTGAACAAAGAAGACATTTCATGTTAATAATAGTGAAGTATGAGGAAGTATTAGAATTAGAGGTAATTGTTATCACTTCATCTCTTGTGAGAGCGGTGGTTTCCAGAACTAATTTTGAAATGCAGAAACTCGTAGGGTTCAGAGCGTATCTCGGGCTATGACTAAAAACTGGACTGACAGTGTAACTTATAATTACTGTAAGTCCCTCGTGTTGAATTAATCGGTATCCTGATACAACACGGCGTTTATTTCAGTGCTCTCCTAACTAGATCTTGATTTGATGATAACGTTCTTTTTTTTTCTTTTTTTCAAGTGAAGAATAACTTAATAGTTGCCGTCTTAAAACGTAAATACACATTACATGTGATTCCCCGTCATTACAACATAAAAGCTTCAATTATGTAATCGTCTATACTATTGTAGTCATGTCTTCGGTAGCGTAAATATATAAATGTAACAACCAGTTCAAGTGTAGCTAGCGAATGCTAATACCGAGCAGACTGCATGATAATGACCTTTGAAGGTCACGCAATGATTTGAATCTACGTGCTCTCTAAAGGCGCATCTAAGAAGACAAAAACAATCTTGTGTTTATGTTGAGGTCTACTTTGTTCCTGTATCCTCGTGTGATCTACTTCTGACGATGCGTACGTTATGTTTTTAACCGTAGTCTTCCTGTTTAATATAACAGACATTCCAGTTATTAAACGCTGTTTATGTTTTAACCGCAGTCTTCCTGTTTAATATAACAGACGTTCCAGTTATTAGACGCTGTTTGTGTTTTAACCGCAGTCTTCCTGTTTAATATAACAGATATTTCAGCTATTAAACTCTGTTTTCGTTTTAACTTCAGTCTTCCTGTTTAATATAACAGACATTCCAGTTATTAAACTCTGTTTGTGTTTTAACCGCAGTCTTCCTGTTTAATATAACAAACATTCAAGTTATTAAACGCTGTTTGTTAACGTTTCTTCATTTTCTTTTCACTCTTAGAAATAACTTCCCATTAATTATTTTACAGATTCAAAGCTACACAATGGGTTATTTGTGCTGTACCCACCATAGGTATCTAAACCGGTTTTTAGCGTCATAAGTCTAGAAACTTACGGCTGAATAACTGGAGTATAATTAAATCTTGATTGGGGATAACTCTTTCTTGAAATAAAGTTATTTTCACTTTGTATATGCAATGACTTTTAAAATACCCTCGTAATCTTACAGTTGGTCATCGTTATGCAAGACTGGCGTCATTAATAATTTAATATGGTTTGCCACTTCATTTCTTCGTAAAATATAATCATCCGGGTACTGCACCTGTGAATTACATATTTCTTTGCTCTAGGACAGAAAATGTTTCAATAATCAGGTGAAAAATATGGAGT